CGGACAAGTGATGACCTTTCAAAGGGGCCCAATTTGCAGTTTTGTTGTGACGCTTGTGTCGAGGTTGCGAACGAGATGAAATCGTTCATGCGCCAAACTAAAGGCGGCCTGCTGGGGCTGATTAGCTGTTTCGGAGTGGCTGGAGATAGTTTTCGCCGAGCTGATGATCTCCTCTCTGCGCTGGACTCGCAGTTTAATAGTCGTAAGCTATTAGAAGAGTCCCCTAAGCGCAAAAAGGCCGCTGGTGTTAAGGAGCAAAAGGGGAACACCCCGCAACCGAAATCAAAAGAACAACAGAGCATTCCGGCGGATCAGCAGCTGATTTCGGTATCCGAACAATCCGTTACAGAATGCATGCAATCAGGGACTTCTAAGAATTCCGATTTGTCCGTAGTGGTTTCACAATTAGTGGATCCACCTATCTCTCAGAATGTAGTATCACCACCACAAGGGACTACTGAGTCCGGACAACCGGCTCAAGTTGGTTTTGCAGAAACAATGTCTGCTCCACCAAAATCCCTTTTAGTGGTTCCACTAAAGAAACAAATTTTCGTTTCTCGGCTTTCCCTGATCAAACATCTTCTGATGTATTGTCTTATATACAAGACAAAACTAAAGCCGATTGTAATAGTGTAAAGGTGGAAAAGTTTAAGTTTTCTTATGCTAGAGACATTTCATCTTTCAAGATAACTGTCCCTAACGAGCTTTTTGAAGCCATATGCTCGGGCGACTTTTGGCCGGATAATATGGTTGTAAAAGAGTTCGAGGCTAAGATAAAGAAGAAGGGGCCCGTAGGAGTAAAACTTCCTAGTCGAGGCCAAACCAGTGTACCAATTTCAAAAAACTAACTTCTAACCTCCTTCTTTCCTATCAGAATGCAAGAGGTTTGCGTAGCAAACTCACTAAATTGTATTCTGATAGCCTTTCCTTTGCATCTCATATTATTGTGTTCACAGAAACCTGGTTAAAGCCGGAGATCTTTAGCTCCGAAGTTTTTCCAGGTAAGTACACAATATATAGGTATGACCGTCCCTCTAGACGGGGAGGTGGAGTCTTAATTGGAGTTGATTCTTCCCGTCTGAGGAGTTATTTTTTGATGAATTCAATACCATTGAATTTATTTGTGTAAAGTTATCGCTTCCTGGTAACTTTATATACATAACTTGCTCTTATATTCCGCCGTTGTCTGAACTTCCTGATTATTTAAATCACCTATCCGTTATTAAGTCCGTTGCAAATAAGCTTTCCGATAGGGATCAGTTGATAGTTCTAGGTGATTTTAATATACCTGGAGTTACTTGGTCCACTGAGGATGGATCGAATGTCTTACTACCAATAGCACAGCATGATTTTATTGATGGCCTGCTTGACATATCTCTATCTCAAGTAAACCATGTTCGAAATTCATTAGGTGGTCGCCTACTTGATTTGTGTTTTGTATCAAATCCTGAAGGTGTGTTTCTGTCCAGAGTAGCACCACTCACGCAACCTGAAGATCCATATCACCCAACAATCGAACTTTCATTTGATACGGGTAGAGTTATAGAAGAAAAATCAGAAAAATCCAAACGAATACATTGTTTTCGCAAGGCAGACTTTCTGAGGCTTAATAATTTTATTTCTGGCTTTAATTGGTCTGATCTTTACTTATGCAATCATATGTCCGATGCAGTTAATGTTTTTTTATACTGCAATAAACTCATTTTTTAATTCCTGTGTTCCGTGGTACTATCCGTCAACTTCCAATAAATCACCTTAGTTTAGCAAAGAGTTGACACACTTAAGAAATGTAAAGTCCAGACTTTTTAGGAAATATAAAAATACCGGTTCTCAATCTGTTTTTACTAGATATCTAAGTGCTCGGTCAAGATTTAACGTGCTTAATGCTCAGTGTTATAATAGTTACTTAAACCGTTGTAAGGTCCAGTTCTCTCAGGACCCGAAACAGTTTTATAATTTTGTTAACACCAAGCGTAAATCTAATTCTTTTCCTTCCTCGCTGTCGTTCGAAAACATGACGGGAACCACAGATCAGGCAATAGCCGATATATTTGCCCAATTTTTTCAAACGACTTACTCTACTTTAGATTATTCATCTCAGCCTTATTCTTACACCATGCCCAAGTCAAACCTCATATTCTGTCCCACTTTAACAGAAAGCTCTCTTCTTTTGGATCTTCTTCGTATTAAGCCTGTTTATTCGCCAGGGCCCGATGGTATTCCTGGGTACGTGCTTAAGTATTGCGCTAAGGCCCTGTGCAAACCTCTTCACAAGTTGCTTACCTTATCTCTAGAAACGTCCCAATTCCCAAATATTTGGAAGGAATCATTTGTTATTCCTCTTTTCAAAAAAGGTAACAAGTTAGAAGCCAGTAACTACAGAGGTATTTCTAAGTTGTCAGCTATTCCTAAGCTTTTTGAAAAAATTATTACTCCTCATTTACAGCACTTTTGCAGATCAATTATTTCTCCGTGTCAACACGGATTTATTAAACGTAGATCCACAATTACAAACCTTCTAGAGCTCACTACATTTGTGATAAAAGGCTTCAATAGTAGTTTTCAAACAGATGTCATTTACACTGACTTTAGTAAAGCATTTGACTCTGTAAATCACTTACTTCTTATTCATAAACTTGACCTTTTAGGTTTTCCAGTTGATCTGCTTAAATGGATTTCAAGTTATCTAAATGGCAGGTCACAAAGGGTCCTTTTTAAAAATTCAATTTCTGAAATTCTCCGTATTACCTCCGGTGTCCCACAAGGGAGCCATCTGGGTCCGTTACTTTTTACATTATTAATTAACGGTCTTCCCTTAATTATAAGTCATTCTCGCGTACTTATGTACGCAGTTGCGCCTGCAGTATAAGGACATTTCCTGTCATTTAGACTTGCAATCCGATCTAGATAATTTTCAAAACTGGTGCCGAGATAATTTACTAAATTTAAACGGCTACAAGTGCAAGCTGATGACTTTTTATCGGGCCAATCCGATATACGCGACTTACACGTAAAGTGGCAGCTCTTTGGATAGAGTAACTCTTGTAAACGATCTTGGCGTTCTCTTGGACCCTACACTAAAATTTTCTAATTACATTTCGTCCATGGTTAATAAAGCCAGAGGAGTGCTTGGATTTATTAAAAGGTGGTCAGAAGAATTCAATAATTCTTATGTGACTAAAACTTTATTTATTTCGCTAGTCCGTCCGATTCTGGAGTATGGGTCTCCCGTCTGGAATCCACAATACGGAATACATATTGATCGTATTGAATCTGTACAAAAAAACTTCCTTCTTTTTGCTTTACGGCGCCTAAACTGGGATGCAAATCTTATCTTACCTTCTTATTCTAGTAGACTTCTTTTGATTAATTTACCATCCCTAGCCAACCGTAGAACGATGCTTGGTACTATCTTTATTTATAAGCTTATATATGGTGATATTGACTGCCCCGACTTGTTAAGTCGGCTAAACTTTTCTGTGCCAAGTAGATTAACTAGAAATTATATTCCCCTAATTTTAAATCATTGTAGATCTAACTATGCCTTGCATGAGCCTTTCAGAGTATTATGTTCTGACTATAATAGACTTTTTACTGTAATATCAAATCTTGACTCTCTGCCGCTCCTAAAACGATTAATACTTGCTTCATTGGCACAAGATTGATCTAACTATTACTTTTTTCCCCGGACCTTTACCTTTATTTTCCTATCTCGCGTCTATCTTATCGCAAAACGTGCCGTACGATACACGGCTGCGCCCCTCGGTCGGTTGGGCGAGTAGTTGGGCCGTGGGACTCCGTGCGAAAAAAAAAAAAATATATATAATCAGAGGTTTAACGGCCAATTTGACATGTCCGTCCGTTTCTGTACGAAATTTTTGTCGAAGTTTTATAGCTCTTTGGATAAATTTTGCCAAAAAGTTTTCTTTCTATTACCAATCAAAAATAACTGAATAGAAACTAGTGTTATAATCGATGGTCAAAATCAAGCAGTCAAAGAAAGTAAAGAATTTTTTTTGGAAAATCAACAGAGCTTCTGTGTTTTTAAACAAACATCAATATTTATTCGTTTTGCAGAATATTATATTTTTCTTATAGCCGCAAGTAAATTTTCCCTACCAGAAGGTCCTGACATTACATTTACCCACAATGTAAATAACTGCTTAAGCTACATAAGGATTTTTTTATATTTTAAAAACCTTTGAACGCCGGTTCCTTTTCCTGTTTAAGGGGTTCTTCTAGTCTAGAAATTTGAGAAAATCGAAACAATTTTTTTTTCATATTTCGATAGTTTTTATATTCACAAATATCTCCCTAAAAGGATTTTTCAAAACTCAAATTATTTTCAAAGTTATAGCCGTTTTAGTGACGTGGCAACTAGACCATTTGAGCGAACGACTGGAACTTTAAACGCGTTTTTCTCGAAACTACTTTTTTTGATGCGGTCGCCACTATATCTCAAGTTCTAATCAGTCGATTAACCTGAAATTTGGCATGAATATTCTTTAAATATATCTCTATCGCCGGAACCAACAAAAAATAAAAAATTTAAAATTATTAATATTTTTTAAAAATTCGACAAAATGGAAAAATTAGTGAAAAAAATCGACTTTTTTCTTTCATGAAAAAAAATATTTTTTTTTTTGTGCTTCATGCCATAGCGACATTCGTACTCATTAAGAATCTCTCATTGTTTTATTTTTGAGACATCGACAAGCATAGAAATCATGGCGACGCGGACACGGCCTCTTTTTTTCCCCCTCTTCTTCAAGAAGGAATAACTTAATGAAAACAATTTTTTTTTTTTTTAATTTATTTTATGTACTCCTTAAGTTTAATAAACAAATGATAAAAAAACGGATAGTAAAAATATCTATTGCTTTTTTTTTTATTAATTGTTAAAAAAAAGGTCGAAATTCGAGCCTCTAGACTAGAAGACCCCCTTAATACATTTGCAGATCTTCAATATTAATATTTAATTATTATTTTTATATTTGCAGAAGATGTCGACGAAAATATTGAATGCATTTCACCAAAACTTCTGAATACAATGAGCACTGATGTTGCCAAGTTAAAAGCTAAGCACGCCTTAGACTCGATACCGAAAAATAAGTTAACCCTTCTTATTAACTACGCAATGCGCAATGTTTACCTAGCGAGGAATTATTTTGCTGGACCGGTAAATATTTGCTTAATAAAACTTTAAGGTGTTTGAATGAAGTTACATTCTTAAGGTGATTTACATTGGTGTATCGTACCGTAACTGAGTTTTTCTCTAATTTTAGAAATGAAAACCAGAAAATATATATAAAAATTAAAGTCGTTGTTTTTTCTGACATATTTTAGAATAGGGTGCTGCGAAATGAAGAATATTAAACTTTCGTTTAAATTCATCTAGTTTTTGTATGCCACCATTTATAATATATAATATATAAAATGGAATGTTATTAGTAATTTTAAAATGATGGGAAGTCTTTTCTACAAAAAAAAAATGACTTAGTGGTTTAAACACTTAAAAAAGGTTGTACCATGCCGTTTTTTCTGCAAAATAATATGATTTCTAAACTGAGGGACTATACCCTCTGCACGGGTATAAAAACAAAACCAAACAAGAAGAATTGTTATAGTCGATCAAATATAACCAACGTATGACCTCGAGTAATCCAATAGCTACAATTATTGTATGACAGGTCGACACATAAACCAAAATTCAGAAATTAAACAATTTTCAACTATTTGTTGTATTTACCAGTTTGCATAAAAAAGCGAAGGTTTTTCAACAGACAAAACACTGAAAACTTTCACACATTGATATAAGCTTTAACGACAGAAACCAATGAAGTTTGGCAACTCACAATTGCAAAAAAGCTTCTCTGATCGTAACATTGGGGAGTTTCTGACGCTCTGCTTTCATCCCCGTAGATAGCTGATGAGTCTGAGGTGACGTGCCGATGAAACTAGCTAGTCCTATCATAGTCGGGTTCACTCCCCAGTGAGTGCAAGTGTGATGAAAGTTAAGGGGAAATAGAAGAAATTAAAATATAACCCACGTATGGCCAATCCAATAGCTACAATTGTCGATCAACATAAATAAATTAATAACTTCTTTATATTAGGTTGTCAAATAACTCCCTTCCGCTTTTTTGCTCTTTATTCAATGCTTTATAAAAATTGATACAGTGAACGGATTTAGCTAAAATATGCGCCGTTTTGTTCGATAATTTGTTCCCATTTAGACGGCAACTTCATAATACCCCCTCGTAGAAACTTCTCTCCTTATTTGAGAAAAACTCTGACAGACACTTCACAACCCTCTTTTGAACCCAACTTTAAACCAGTAAGGGCATTCGCCATGGGCAGGAATAGGTGGTAGAAACTTGGCGCTATGTCCGGCCTATATGGTGGATGCTATAAAATCTCCCATCCGAGCTCCCGTAGCTTCTGGCGAGTCATTAAAGAAGTGTGTGGTCTGGCGTTGTCCTGGTAAAACACTACACCCTTCCAGTTGGCCAGTTCTGGTCGCTTCTGGTCGATCGCCAGCTTCAGCGGTCCACTTGCTCGCAGTAAATGGTAGAATTAAGCGTCTGGCCATATGGGAGCAGCTCATAGTGTATGATTCCCTTCCAATCCCACCAAACTCCGAGCAAAACTTGCCTGTCTGTCAATCCCGGCTTGGACACTGTTTTGGACGATTCACCGGTCTTCAACCACGACCGTTTTGCGCTTGATATTGTCGTATAGATCCATTTTTCGTCGCCAGTCACCATCCGCTTCAAAAATGGGTCGAGTTCATTCCGTTTCAGCAGCATATCGCAGGCGTTGATTCTGTCCAACAGGTTTTTTTTGCGTCAAATCATGCGGCACCCAAACATCCAGTTTTTTTTTGTATCCAGCCTTCTGCAGATGGTTTAAAACGGTTTGGTGACTAATTCCTATCTCCTCGGCGATGTCACATGCCGGTCTAGCTGGATGTTTTCCATGATTTTATCGGTATTCGTCGTCACAGATCTTCCTCCGGCTGTCCGGTGTCGTTTTCACCGGCTCCTAATCGTCGAAACCATTCTTCCGTGGTTCGAAGTGATAGAGTACCATCCCCTAAAACACGAAATGTTTTTCTAGCGGATTTACCTTTTACGAAGGAAAACTTTAAAACAGCGCGAATTTCGGCGTTAGCGAAACTCCATGGTTTTCAACGCAATAACCAAACTTGTTATGAATAGCGTCGTTTTGTAGGTTATGTCAAGACCTTTCAATCGATATATAGCATTGCCAGATACCGATATGTAGCGTTTTGCACAAAGCCGCCAAGTGCTGACACTGCATCCTTGTTGGTTAATAATTAAATGTTACGATTCTATTTTAATTTTCAGAGCTACATGAACAGAGCTCGTGATTGCTCTGCCCGTCGCCTGATGCATTCTGTATTTTGTACTAGTATTAGTTCCATATGCTGCTAATTGCTATCCTAGTTTCTTGTAATTTCAGTGTTGCATATTTCTCAAACTTCATATCGCTCGTTAGCATTACTTAAATACTAATTCCAGGCCCGTTCCATTGCATCTCCAGTTACGGGCATATCGCGGACTATCAAAACTTTAAAATTTTCGTAGTTAATCGTTAAGGTGCTAATAGTTGGCTACCGCTTTCGATTTGGTTATCCTCGACTGTCCTTGTCGACTGACCTCGCCGGAATGTGAGATCTCCTTGTGGGTCTCCTTGGGTTATTCCGTTAAGAATTGTAAACCCAACGTCTTTACAGTTCCAAAAGTTTTTTCCTTCGCTATCTAGGGCAGAGACTTTTGACTTTCTGATTGCTAATCGTGTGTTCAGGTCTCCAATTATCATTAAATTGCTTACAGATATCCCTTTTAAAGCTTTCAAATTCTGCATTCCAATTATTGCAGTTGAGATAGCAGGGTATGATAGTCTTTTTATCGCTTTTATGCTTAACTTTAATTGTAGTTGTTTGGTCTACTTTGGAAAACCTGCAGATTTTATTAAGACTCTTTGATCCCATACAGAATTTCTGCATTTCCTCTAGCTCTCCCCGCAGTCCTTGTGGCTAGTTGCCACTGTAGGTTGTACGAGTGAAAGTATTGCTCGTATATCTCCTCCTTATTTTTTACAAATGTTACAAGAAGCACAAATGTGTCATGCTCATTTATTCGTTTAAATGAGTTATGAAAAATTCGTTTGCCGTTGAATACTGCTATGTTGTATGCGAAAAGTTTTAGATTAATTGGAGTGTGGCAGGTTAATGTTGTATAATATAATATAATATTTGTTGCGTATTTGAATTAGTTTTTTGAAGAAATTTTGCGAAGTAATTTTTCATAGGTGGTCGACTTTATCAAGGTTTGGAAAGCTTTTCTTTAGAATTTGGATTCCGTACTCTTTGCCGCTCATAAAGATTTGGTTTGCAACTTTCATTGAATCATTTTGGACCATAACTTTTACTTCCATTCTTAAGGTTTAGAGGTGGCTTTTAAGTTGCAAGAGCACGCTCTTATCTGCTTGTTTGCGTTGAGATAAATATTTTTCTATCTAATTCCTACGGTCGCCATTTCCGAGATTACATACATTAGAAGACGACCGACTGGTTAAACCCTAGTCTTGTGAATTCGGTTAATTCGGTGAAAAATCGAGCATTTTTTAAAAATTTTTATTGGCGATACGGATAGTCTCAGCTAAATTTAGGCATGTGATTGGGCAACATTTAAACAATATGTGTGATTTTTTTCTTCCAAAAATATTAAAAATTGACTGAGATACAGGCAATCTCCGACGGCGCCTCGAAGAAAAGATGTTTGATACGATGACACGATAACCGGTCACAGAATCATCCGAAATGAAAAAAATCCAATTGCATTCGTTAAAGAACAAGATTCCTCAGGTAACGCTGTCGAGTTTTTATTTTTTTTTTTATTTTTTTAAGGCACTTGAAAGTCAAAAACACCGATTTTCGCCTAAAACGTCGAGATATTTGTTGCTCTAAATTAAAAAAAAAAAAAACTCGACAGCGTTACCTGAGGAATTTAGTTGAGAACAACTGTGCAAAATTTCAAAACGATGCGTCCGATAGATTTTGCAGGACACCGACTTTGAAAAGGGTAACTTTTCAGGAGAGCGTTTTAAAGTTTTTGACACCCATTCAAAACGAGCTAAATTACCTACGTTCAACTGCCCATAAGTTCGGAAGCTTTACTCAGATTGATTTAAAACTTTAACACAATATTCTAAAGATGTTGTGCATTCAGAAAAAAAAATGCAAAACAAAAAATTTTAATACTTATAATATATGTTAATAACAATAAAAAGTTTGAAAAGCAGAGAATGAGACTGTATTATATAGCTCCCATAGGAAACATTTTTTTAAAAAAACTTTGTTTTTAATTTTTTTTTGTTCCTTTGGATTTGGTAATATCTAAATACTATGGAATTACGGTTTTAATTAAATTATAATCGGACATTTATATCATATAGTTCCCATAGAAGAATCAAAAAATTAAAAAATATAAATAAAAAAATTTTGCTGTTTTTTCTATTTATTAAAATGTTCCATTGAGATATAGTAATTAATTACTATATTAGAATTACGATTTTACTTTTGTCAAAATCGGACAACAATATCAAATAGCTGCCATAGAAATGATGGCAAAATGCAGCGCAAAATCACATAGCTGTTTTTAGTAATAAAGGCATATAAATCAAAATTTAGTCGTTTCGTAATAGCTGCAAGGGTATATAAACTTTGGCTTGCCCAAGTTTGCTTCCTTTCTTGTTTTGATTAGCCAGGCAAGTCAGTCAATCTAGCCAAGTCGCCTATTTTTCCGTCCGGTTGTTCGCCTATCTTTCCTTCTGTCTGTCCGTTTCTACGCAAAATAGTCAATCACGTATAAAGCTGATTGGTTGAAACTTTTAGAAAAATCTACTTTCTGTTACAGGTAGGAACAGACCGGTTAGAAAAATTCATTTTTTTTTTTGCTATGTTAATAGTGTTCGTATGGCGAGAGCGTGGTGAGATCATATTAAAAGCTTAGGCGCTCGTTGATTTTTGTTTGGATTTTTTGTTTTGTTCTGATTATCATATGTACCAAAATACTGAAGTCTACGATCATTGCTCAATTTAATGCTCAAAAATCTTTCTATGGGAATCTTTCTAGTAGACTGGTTGCGTTG